TTTAATAAAATACTATTTATTACAATATAAATTTAAATATAATCTAAAATAATAATAGACAACTAAATTTTAATTTTATATCAAGAACTCAAATTTAGATACTATTAAAAAACTAAACAATATTAAATAATTAAAGAACAAAAATTATGTACAAAAAATATTTTTTTATTATAAATTTATATAAAAAAAAAAGCCTCAATAATGAAAAAGATTTATTTGCACTGTTAGTGGAATTAAATGGCTTATTTATTTTGTTTTTAATTTAGAGGTTTAAATGTTATTTTAGTGTAAATTTGGGGGCTTAAGAGGTTTTTTGCCTCTTTTTTTTGTGTGTGTAAATAGTGCGATGGCATTCTCATGTTGTTACTGGTATGATATATGATGTTACCACCCCACCGCCAAAATTCCTCCAACGCGATAAGATCAGCTGACATTCTATTTTCAGCAATGGTACTGCTAGTACATCAAGATTTGTTTAAAACTTTAAATGAAGCTTCTCCAATTTATTTTATATAAAATAATGTCAAATTTCACATTCAAAAATATAATCATATCGGCCACTTAATTAGTTTTATAGTAAATTTTTAATAAAAATATAAATTTAATAATTTATTTTTTCATTATAAATGAATAAAAATTATTTATTTATTTTTAAAACTTATTTTTAACTTAAAAATGATAATAAATATCAATTATTCATAAAAAATTTTTGATGAAGTATTTGTACAAGTAATGTGTGTAAAAAGATATTAATATTTTATATATTTATATTTTATAACGATAAATTTAAAACAATGTATAAACAATTTTAGTATCTAATATATATCATTTTAGTATTAAAATCAATATACATATTGATATGATATTGACTTCTTTTACCCCCTAAGGGCACGTGTTAAAAAATTTTAAAAACTATTGAATGATGTTTAGTGAACACCAACTAAATAAGGATATTTAGGTAATTAAGTATATCATAGATTTTGGCCAACAATCTAAATAGTTTAGTGGTGTTTTTTTTTTTTCACTAAAAATAAGAAATTCTGAATTCGAGTCGTATAGTATACAAGTGAACTAAAATAAAAAATAAAAAATAATTATCTTATATTATATAATCAAAATAAAATATCGGGAAACTGGTTTGCAGCCGGTATTGTAAATTTTTGGGCAGAATTAAAACGGCGCCATTTTAATATTAAACACATGTTTTGGGCGGAAATTGTTTTGGGTTCTTTTTTCCCTAGTTTTCCTGCACCATCCTCATCTGGACGCTCTGCCTCCCTTTTTCCCTATTTCATCCCCTCCATCAAACATAATCCCTATGATTTATCTTTCTTTATGTGTGATTTTTTTTCATCTATGATTTCTCTCTTGCATTGTTGAGAGCATTTTGTTATTCTTCTGCTCCCTACAACTTCCAGAATCCAAATTCAACAAATACCCACTTGAGTAATCCATCGAATATAATCAAGTTCATCGAAATCCCCCAATTTGTCTTTCCCTCAACACCATTCCCCAAACGACAATCACCCAATCCCACTACCATACCCACAAGATCTTTCTCTTCTCCAACTACATCCTCCTCAGTGCTGCGTCCAGTTGCATCTTCTTGATCCTTTCCCTCCGCTAGAATTAGGGAAATCAAAGGATAGCCATCTTTTTGCTGGCAACTTCTTTGAAATAGTCTTCAGGCCTCCGGTGAAGTGGTTGAGTGGCTATGGTGTCGGAAGGATGGAAGGAGAATTTGCAAGAAAGGGTTCTAGGATAGAGGGCTTTTGAATGCAGAGTAATAGGGGCAAATCAAAGAAGAAAAGGGGATGAAATGAGACAGGAGAACAAGGAGAAATCAAAGAAGAAAAGGGGATGAATTGAAATAGGGGAACAAGG